ATTTGTACTCTTTACTTATTATGTTTATTTATGTAATCTATTCCACTGTTATCACTGACCCATAAACTACCTTGATTGATTTAATAATTTCGTATATGTATATAAATATTACTGTATGTTAAAGTCTGATGATTTTACTGAAAACAATATTGTTCGCTTATATATGTTGTTCTGATTCACAATATGGGAAGTTTTAAAATAATAAATAGTAACGAAAAAAATTTCACATTTTATTTTACAAGGAGCTTATCAAAGATAATAAAGTATGCCATTACGTGGTATCGTGGCAGTAAATGATATGCGACTTAGTGAAATAATTCTAACAACGAAATCACAATACAGAACTGACAACGAAGACAGCTCCATAATGCAATCAATTTAAGTAATAAAACACATTTATGAACACTATGTCCGTCTGGTTGATTTTCGTTAACTATCAAAAATGATGAGTACTTATGGATTGATTACATTATCAATTGTTCGTTTATTTGATTTACAATTCTTAAATTATGCAATCCTATTAAAAGCATTGAATGAGAGATACTATGTTGGTGTGCTTCGATTTCAATAGACACTCATAGTTGGTAAAAAGATTATAGGTTATTGGACTCATTTAACTGACCTACGTAGATTGTATTTGAATTTATTAAGCGATTATTTGTTTTTACAAATCACATTTATATTCTTAAAAAATCATTAACATACTACTACTCTTTAGAAAACAGTTACACATATTGTGACTTTGAAGTTATATCAAGATATTACTCTTGGTGACACAAAACGCGAACTTAAAATAATGTGATCGAATACGCTATGTTATACTGGTTTTACTATTTTACATGTTCTGGACAACATATATAACTTGATTAAGGGATGTATGAGAAATGAAGCTGAGTTTCAAACAAAACTGGATTCTAATAATTACAAGGGACCATTACTTTCAGTAAAACATATAATAAAAAAAAGACTGATTAGAAAATAAACTTTAAGAAAACTCATAGGAACTTTTAAGAACATACATTTTGAAATGACAGAGCTTTCGTCAAGCCAAAATCCCTTAGAAAATTCCAGTCAGTCAACCACAGTCAAACAACAATAATAATGTAGATTATGACAAAAATGAATATTTGCTCAAATTATCTTATATTAGATCAATACACTAACGTTACACCCAATGATAAATTTTGATTTGGTTATTTGTCCTGTGAAGAAGTGACTTACATTGAGTCACGAAACGTCAGAAAATTTAATTTTTCTACTAGATGGGATATTACAAATATATGAATTTATTTATAAGAATCTACTCAATGCTTAATTTATTCGAAATTATCAAGTCAAATCTTGGTATTGATACCTATTAAACCCGAAGGTTATTAGGTTGATAAAATCATATTGATTCACAAATTACACATACGAGACAGGATAATCAGAAATACATTGAAAATGACTTTAAGTTTAGGAAATTAAGATACATTTAGGGTAGCAAACTTGATAATTTACAAGACTTCTTTTATACAACAAAACACATGTTTATTATTCAGTGATCCGCTGTATGTTATTAAAATTGCAAATAGATAACAAATAAAATATGGACTCTTCAGATAATGGTAATTAATTTGACCTGTTTTACGCAACAAATAATACAATAAACAGAATCTTCTAACTCAGTTCTTATGTAAAATCTTCATAGATTTAGTTAACTATATTATTCATTGAATATTATTGAGAAGTGAACAAGTGATTAAATTCTAACATGAATGCATTACGCTAGTGTATTACAGTTGAAAAAAGTAAATAATATTTATCTACATTATCAGAAGTATTAACCTGTTTACGGTACACTGCTTAGTTATAAAATGAGAATTAGAACTGCATTTTAAAAATTTATCCAGCACAATGTCAGATTTGGAATGTTCACTACAAAACTGAATTTTTACGAATTACTTATCATTGATGAGACTACTTGACAAACTGCTCCATCCACCAAATATTATTGGATTAGTCCATGTGATTTTGTACAGATAAAACAGTTAATCAGTTACAGAAACTGTATGATTTGAGACAGTTAGCCAGTCACTCATAATCAACGTAGAATCTGTCGAACAAGCACATCAATTAAAGTTGCTACACTATATTAACATTGTGAGAGGAATTTATCAAGATTAATATCAAATTAACAGTAGTGGAAATGTGAGTGGCAGTAAAAAAAGCATTCGGCATAGACAATATGATTCAAGAATTAATGAGTTCGCATAATTAAAAAACCCAGGACAAATGCTGTTCATACTAAATCCCAACACTTAACATTTGTACAGCAATAAGAAATTAATAAGATCAAAATAATTAACTGCATATAATTAATGGTAACAGGTATGAAAACTAAACGTGAAGACTAAATTCATTTTGTATTGTTTGGTTGAGTCCTCCCACTGATGTTTAGGACTGCAATTGATCAGTTTCTTATTGGCATATGAGCATCATGTACAAATTGTCTCGATAATGCCTTGTCAAACCATTATGAACAAAGATGGATGGTAACTAGCAGTGGATCCAATTAAACAATACAAAATGAATTAAAACTTCACCCCATTTCACAAGTTAGTGACTATCTGGACTCCCTAGCTAAGTGGGTAAAGTGATGGCGTCTGAAGCGTACGGTATTGGGTTCGAGTTCTGGAGTGAACATCAACCCCGGGATGCAAGTATACCCAACTGACGAGTCCCAAACAGCACGAAACATGTATCCTTTATTTCACTGCTAGCCACCATCCATCTTCGCTTATGAAGAATAAACTTTTAACAGAACAGGTGAAATCAGTAACTGAACACACTAGCTACGCTATTCCAACTGATTATGAGCCATATCATCTAAGGTCTTCACTCGTTGATTAACACAAACATAATAAACATAATTATCAGCAGCCATAGAGTGCTAAGCTTATAATCTTCAGCTATTGGTTGATAGCACAAAATGAAATAATAAGTGGATTGAATTTTAAAATATTCAATGATCAGTGGATTTACATAACTAAACTATCGTTATACAACAATTTTATTAACTAACAAAATATAAACAATAAAATGATGGAAGACTGGAATAAACATCAATACATCATTCGTTCTTAAATTAAATGTCATAGGCATCAGATAAGGATTCGATAGCTTAAACAATAAGTACGAGAAAAAATCACTTTAGCCAGTCTATCCATTCTATTAAGAGAAACTGTACACACTAAATACTAAGTTTGATTCAAGAAAGAAACATAATATACAATTTGCATGACATTTATTTTCTAACGAATAAACAAAATGACATATACAGTTATTACTCTTTTCCCTTAAAGCAAATGTGTTTGCTGTGAAAATGAAGATAGATATTCTGCACAATACGGTGTTCCAGCCGTGTGAAAGTGAAGCCGATTAGCTTTTCTGGGAACGGTTTCCGTTTTTGAAGGCTCACAAACCCACCGACTGTATACGATTTTGTGGGAAGATTGTTACCCCCAGATCTTGGCGCTTGGGCGTCGCATCACGGGTAAGTAATGGTCTACGCGCACACTGGTAACACAAGTTTTTACGCATGCATTCCATAGTATACATACTGGTATTTTCACACACCCGGGAGGGTAAATGGTCACCGCGCCTTTTGAACGAGTTTGCTACAGCTGACTGTCACTTACGCATTACATGCATTTCACTGGTACAAAGGCTTTCGCCCTTGAACTTCATGACATACACTTAAACATAAACACTTTCTGAGAAGGGTGATGGTCACCTCTCCCTAGTATTTGCTACCACATTTTTTATTATGTATTCGACTCAAAAGATTAGGCCGCTGACTTTACTAGACATAGGCAGACACTTTTCAGCTTACGTCCCTTGTGCTCACCCACGCACGTACCCATTGCACATACCTATATACATAAACCACACAAGCCGAATCATATACGTAAACATACACATCAAAAATCCCGTAAGACATTTAGAGCTCCGAACAAAAAACTCAATTAATTCAGTTTACAGCAGAGTGGTGAATTGGTTCCATCTCCAACCACCCAAGTTAGCTAGCAAGGTTGCCCCTACTGCCTAGCAGCAGGGCGCGGGGAGGCCTTAAGTCGGATTGTGTTGCTGACTTTTATCCATTGGCCTAGAAACACAAAGATTATTCAGCATAATATTAACGATAGTAATAATAATAATAATGAAATAATCCCATTAGATTGAACTTGATCACTGATAACCTCAGTAATAATAAGAAGGAAGCTATACAAGATTAGCTTGATTGATATAGGCCTACATTTATAAAAATTTATAGATATTCGACTATATAACAAATATTGAAAGAAACAAACAGATTTTCTAGTTGCATTACGAGTAATGAATTGAGTTCATGCTGAATCGAATTCCACAACAAGACTAGAATACAAACAGAATAAAGTAACTTGAAATCCAAAATTGTCTGAAGTAGGACTGACAACTTCAAATTATTCTTTGATGAGAGAAGTAAGATTTTCTACAAAGAACTAATGAATTTAAATACAAGAGTTCAGAATTTCCAAATATATTCATTACTACTATTTCAACTACTACTACTGGACAGTTATCATTCATTTACATAAATAAACCAATTAAGTAAATAAACCAATATATATATATATATATATATATATATATATATATATATATATAATTTCTATATTTAATTTACTCTTAAATGTATAAAGTACAAATGTAATAGTCAAAGTATCTGATCGTACTAACTTTTTCTCTTTTCAAACTAATCATTTATTTTTAGCTAGTAGTTATATCAATGCATATATAAAAGAGATATCGATGTGTGTATGTTAATCCTAGGAATGAAAATCCATTACATAGTTGTGTTTTGTTTTCTTCAAAAACATGCAAAATATCCATTTGTAGTATTGACTAACGCACACACACACACACACACATGTACACGTAAATATAAACAAGCATATATACATGATATATACACATACCTCGAGGTTCAAAATGTCGTTGGTGCAGAAATCGATGATTCAGGAAATTTTCTGTAAAATGTCACATTAGACAACAAGAATGTAATAGAATAAAAGTAAATATATAAATTAGCTAAAAATAAATTCTAAACAAAATTAATTTGATCACCATAATAATATGGATCATTTGAAAGGGTATTAAACGAAATACAATAAAGGAAAATAGAAGTGAATGAGTGTGAAACTGATTTTATGGTGTGATCATACTGTAAGAATGTCATTCAAATAAATGATCTTTTAAGAAATACATTTGGTTTTTCATCGATAATAATAATAATAGTGCAGTGAAAGAGAACACAAGTAGGGACAATCAAATGTACTTGACCACAAAATTAAAACACATCTTAGTAAAATCTGAGGACCATACAGTAAATACATAATTTGCAAGATATCAGTCAATCGTCTCAGACTCCATTGTTCCTGCATTTTCATACTAACTGCTTTCTGTTCCCGTTCTTTCCTTCTCGACTTTCTGCTGCCAGACATTCTAATTCTGATTATCGTTACATACTACTCATGTCGATATAAATAGCACACGCCACAATAATAGTAATAATAGAAAAAACAATAAAACAATTCTTTGCACTTACGAAAATCAATTCTATCCGATGGTTTACGAATAAGCATTTTTAATAGAAGATCCTGTAACGCTTTACTGGTTGTAACAGGTATTCTGTAAAACGAAAAGAAGTTTTGAAAAAAGGAATTCTGTAAACATTGTACTGATGAAGTTATTTTTAATCAAACTAATAACCTGAAACTTCTACTTCACTAATTAACTTTCAAAGTGTAAAATCTTCGAACTATATAAATACTCAAAATATACAGCAAGCAGGAGAGGATTCTGATATAATTGTTATCTAAGCTGAGAAGAATTTTCAACAACCACCCTATGAATGTGTGGTTTTCTCACTACAGTTAATAACCGCAGTATTAATGGGCAATTTATTTAAAGTTAAAACACACATATATTGAGATACATATATTTACCAAACTTTTGAAAGAACTCAAAATAACTAGGCATACGAAAAGAAATAACAACAAGTTGAAATCATGAGTCAATTGAAGCTAGACCACCATGGGAATCCTGGAAGCACTGGACGGCCGTTTCGTTAAAACTCTTACCGAGTACCTCTTCAATCAAGACATTTTTCATTAAAATTGAAAATTTTTGAAAATAATGTATTCTCAGAGCTGGATGTTTAATTGTGAAGCTCTCATTATCTGTCTAGACAATATATTGATAGGACATCCAAAATTTCTAAAATCTAGGTATCTATTCTAAAAGTTTATTGTAATAAGAATATTTTCTAAGAAAAGTTTGATCTACGACTGATGTGTTTGTAAGACATGAGAGCCTTCAAAAACACCTGTCTAACAATTTTCTAAGCTGATGTTTCATGAATCGATTAAAAAATGAGAAATCTCAAGACGAATGGTTCCTAAAATTAAGAAATTTTCCACGCAATTGGACTAGTACAAGTTGTTACAATTTGCAGCAGTACAGAAAAGGACTGTTATTAGGAATGATGTCACAAACTGATTAATACATCTGAGGGGTATTAAATGAAATGTAAGTGATATTTATAATTGGTAAAGACTACAATAAAATAAATAATATGGGATTTTTCTCATTCTCATAAGATAACCAACTATTCACCTTAACACTAATTCTAAACCGACATTACAGATTTGAAGAATGTTAAAAATTTCGCCAACTTAATTTACAAACATACTTATTGGAGGAAACCGTTGACAAGAATAGAAAAGATTGGGTAACCAGATAAAAATGAATTGGAATCTGAAAGTTCTGCACCGAGAACTGTATGAGCTATGAGTACGACTGCATTAAAATGAGACCAGTTATTCGTTGAGGTCGTTATAAACAATATAGAGACTTGGATCAGACTGAGTTGCTACACTACATCCACTAATATAATCACAGCCAAGTAAAAGACCAGTTTGGTTTATTTTGATTTAATATTCCAGAGTCCCATCTAACGATCGAATGAATATGGATCCTAATATTTTAGACACCATATTACTCGAACCGATTCCCCTATGGTTATCAAAAAACAATGTTAGCTATTTTTTATAGACCAAGACGATCAGAATCCAAGACCAATTAGTTGGGATCACATCCAGTTCGTAAACTCTGGCTAGCACCTCAGTCAACTTAACAGCTAAAATTGAACTCCTATTCCTAAAAACCACTGATGTACCTAGCAGGTGTGCCTGCTACTCCTTGTTTCAAGTAAGGTACAACCCTTTCCAAACTTTTTAAGAGCTGGTGTACTTAGGTCAATAACCCATTCATACAACATGAAAATAGAAGGTAAGCAAAAAGCAGTTTGGAGTCCGTTGAATTATTTCGTTGAGTTTTCTCCTCATTATTCCAATCTCCTGAACAGAGACAGATCAGTGTTTTATCTTTCTCTAAAACGGTCTTACTAACAGCTGACTTCTCTAAACCAGTTTACTCGGTGATTCTGAACAGACGTCGCCACCGCTGCCCTTCCGATTGCTTTTGCTTTGGTTTGCGGTTACTTATCGTTTTTTGGACATCCTGGAATGAGCTTATGAGCACCTATTAATTAAGTAGAGGCTTTTAAGACCTGATGATCCCAGTCCTTTGGTTTAGATCGCTAATAGACGTTACTATTATTGCTGTTAAAGACTGCGAATCATGCCAGATAGTCTTTGAATGAACACTACCTACATAGTCGAGTAAGTGCATAGTTAGTTCTGCCTTAAGAATACCCTTGACCTATTAGTCTTCGATCTACACTCGAAAAGATCTTCTTGTTTCATTGTGTCTGAGCCCAATAAAGTGCAAACAAACACGAAATATGACTAGAGAGTATTTGGAGTCTGAACATCTGTTACGGATAAGGAGCGAGTCTTCAACCAAACATGCTTAGTGATGACTGACAACAATATGATTTATTTGTGTCCACCGTTGTGACTTCGGTAGTCACGACGTTAGGTGATGTCTTACCTTGTGCTCAAAAGATGATGACTGTTATCAAATTAACAGATATGAATTAGGTATACTAGTAGTAAATTACGTTGACTCTCCAAACCCTCTAGGTGACGTCAAATGAATTAAGACATTGTATGGGTGCTTCAGAGATGCAGCATCTATTGATAACACGAGATTCCAATGTCCCCATTTTCGTTCAACTTCATCATAGACCTACTGCTGGAAATAACACTCTCGTCGACTGAATTCTCGGGCATTGATCTCCTACCAGGAGGTCCACTTATCAGATTAGAATACGCAGATAATACAGTCCTGTTTGGTGAAGATACCGTTAAAATGCAGTGTTTTGGTAGCACTGGGCAACAATGCCAGGATGTTTGGGATGCGTTTCTCCCCCTCTGAATGCAAGTTGTTGCTGCAGGACTGGCCTGCATCAACACCTGAACTAAGGATAGGGAGTGGAGTAGTCGAACGCGCTGACAACTTCACTTATCTTGGAAATCTGATCAACCATAATGGGTTGGTGTCTGACGAATCTCAGCATGGATTCAGAAAGCTCGTTTGGCTTTTGCCAACTGGCGTCACCTATGGCGAATGCGAAACATCAGTCTATCAATCACGGGACGAGTATACTGCTCAGCATTTCGTTCTGTTCTACTTTACGGCTGCGAAACGTGGCCATGAAGAGTAGAAAATAGCCGTAAGTTACTAGTATTTGACCAAAGATGCCTTAAAAATATTGCTGGCGTTTTCTGGGATCACCGGTTAAGTAATAGTGAGGTTAGGAGCATGGTATTAGGGAATGATGGTGAATCAGTTGATGGATTGTGAATCTTCATCGACTGAGATAGTTGGGCCACATGTTACGTATGCCTGAACACCGATTACCACGACGTGCAATGCTGACTATTGTTGGAGACGGTTGGAAGAAAGTGTGGGGTGGCCAAAGCAAGATGTGTCATCAGTGCTTGAAGTCACTGACTTCTGGTCTTAGCCATGTTAATAAATGCAGACTACTTGGTTGGGGTCCACGCGACTATCGTAACCAATGGTTGGTTTTTTCTACGAACTAGTTCTTTCTTACAGTACTGTATCCTTACATAAAATCTTTCTTTATCACCATTAAGTTAACTGCTTCTATGAATCCGGTGTTCGTCTTGCTATGCTAATGAGGTGTGGCAACTTGGACCGATGCATATATGTACCTGGTCCTACGTTGTAGCTGACTGACTGACTAAGCATTTCAATAGTGTTGAAAGAATGAAAGATCTAAAATGTAGTTCAAAAAAAGATTTAGGGAGGACTGGGATGAAATTTGGTCAAATAACATAGTAAACATTAGTATCATACGTGAACGTAGTCGAAGCTAGAGGATGACTGATCATGGGAACAGAACAAATGTTAGATTATTAAGATGGGATTCGATTGTGAAGATGGTCGCGAAGAGATTTGTTACTCCCCAATTCTCCACACCTTGGAAGGATATTTCTATTTGGAGGAAGATGTGTAATGGGCGCTTTTGACTAACTGAATGAAACAACAAAACTAGCTGGTTGCTCAAATACTTATAAATACAGTTTGGTGAGAGTCTGAAAGTCAGTTGCTCAAACTACTGAGTCACAGGTTCATACTAAAGAGATAAAAGATATTAAATGCTGTCTAAAATTCCTAATGATAAGAAATAATATATACATTAACATGCCTACATTCATGATTATTCTAAATATACCACACCATTCATTCATGTTTTCTATAATTAACGTATGACGAGGTGGGTAGATAGCCTTTAAACACGCTAAGTAAGACCATGAGTCTTACAATGCATAATACCATATTATTTACACGATGTACAAACTTATTTCAATAACAAGAAAATAGTAAAGTGTGTAAATAAACTTCGTTTTACGATAATTATCACACACAAAAAAACTTGCAAAAAATCACCTTTATTTTACGCATTAATCAATCTTTCTTAGAGCTTGAATAATTAGTAATGTAATTGATTTTTATCGCTCGGTCACGTGAATTAAATGACTACTAATTGTGAAGTATAAATAAGAACTCCTTTTTAAGTACGAATTTTTGACGTACGTGCTTAAAAAACAATTAAAAATATATATAACAATAGGTATCAAACTGCAAGTTTTAAAGTTTTTATTTATTTCACCGGTACAGATGACAAAATATACTGTTGTAGAGACATACAAGCAGTCAGTTAGTCAGCTAAAACGTAGGACCAGGCACATATATGCATCGGTCCAAGTTGCCATACCTCATGAGATATACAGTCAGTCTATTCAACCTCAAGAAACAAAGTAACACTATTTACATACTTTCAAAAATCCACTCAGCATATTAACAAATCAAAGCTCTCAACCGTTTGTCATGTTCTTCAAATTCTGGTATATAAATATTAATGGGTGATAGATTATAAGCTTTACGATAATTGTATTACCACATGAATTGTCGACACAAAAACGTCGCAAACATTTACGATACTATTCCATATATATATAAACTAGTATGAGTTGGGTAAGGTTAGAAACATCCAACTTAGGAAACACTTACAGACCCAATTCCTTTTCTGTCTTAAAGATAACTGATATCACTAATGCACAATTGCTATAGGTCTAAGATTCAGTGCAAACAACGGAATTTTATTGTGGCGGAAACTAGGTGTATATGTACGTGTTTGAATTTAGGTGGAGTTTTGTTCTCTGAGCTGGATGATTTAGTCGTGGAGTTCGTCTGAACAACATCAGCAGCACAAACTTTATGTAGAAGTGGAGTGAAAAACACATCTGATAGAGTGGACGACCCCTTCATCTTCACCTGCACGAACACCAATTAGCAGTCAAACACCATGACATATCCTCACTTAGATCAATGCATCTGGACAACTGTGGACATACATTCAACTGGAAAAATGTTGAAATCTTGGATGGAGGTAATACTAAAAGCACCAGGGAATTTTTAGAAGCTTGATATTCAGGTCAATCAGTAATCAACAAACACATCGAAATCGATCTAATCTATCAACCAATCAGAAAAATCATGGACAAATATAAGACTAATGATCAGATCAAAGAGAGATACAATCAAAATAAAGAGGCAGACAACGACAGGTCAAGGGTCAACAATAACCAACCGAGATAGAGGTAGACAGGACAAGCTGTGAGTCGTAAGTGTAGAAATCCGAACACTTCACTTCTACCTGACGTTTTTGATTATGTTTTTCAGAAGAACAATGGAAGCTCTATGACCAAGCCATCCATCTAAATAATCCATATGCGCTGTTAAGTTCCTCTACCATGTGCACGAAATAATCTACATAAAGTAGGTACCAAGGATATTGTCTAGAACGGTAATGAAAGCCCTAATATTAAACCATCTAGCTCAGAGACCACAGAATCATATAAAGTAAGCAACTTAACGACAATATAATAAATTTACAGAAGAACACTAAATAGTACTTACTTTGGTCTGAGACAAGCTGTTTTTTCATATATGTTTTTTAAAGCCTCTGGAGTATTGGCATAAAATGGAGCCTTACCAGTTAAACACTGGTAAACAATAATGCCCATACTCCAAATATCTGCTACTGCATCATATTTACGACACATCAGTACTTCAGGAGCCTTATTTCAACAAAAAGCAATAAAAGATAGTAAAGATTACTAAATGGAGAAATATTATTATTATTATTATTATTATTGTTATTATTATTATTATTATTATTATTATTATTGAATAAATAAATTCGACTATGATTCATACTTGTACTTGTTATCTCTGAAAAAAAACTACTATGATATGTTTAGTAGTACAATCAATTAGTCAGCTGCAACGTAGAACCAGGCACATATATGCATCGGTCCAAGTTGCCATACCTCATTAACACAGCAAGATGGACACCGGATTCATAAAAGTAATTAATTCAGAGGTGGTAATATATAAAAGAAAGATTTCAATAAGGATATAGTACATACATACATACATAGTACAATACATCCTGCAGAAAATACACGCGAATTCTTGTAAATATATTTCGAGAACTAATAAGACGCTTACCGGCATCTCACGTAGCCATATGCTCAAAGGGTGAATATCCTAACCAATGAATTAATTGGACAGAATTTTGTAGGAGCAGGCATGGATAATAAGAAGTAGACTAATTAATAACATATCGCATGATAGTCTAAAGTTTCATACACAACCATAAACAAATGAAACAAAATACCTAATTGCATAAAAAGAAACGGTATATACATATTAATGCCCAGAGAGTGCTGTTTGCAAACGATATCTAGTCAACAGTCAAGAGGAAACTGACCATATACATAGGTGATCCACACATGGTTACTGCCATCATCCCATCCTGTAAAAATCTAGCGAAGCCAAAATCAGCTGAAATAAAAGGAAAAATCGTGAATAATAAATGATCGAGTTTATACAGTTGTAAAATTGTGTAAAAACCATCTATATATAAAGGTACACCTGTGACACTGAGTGGTAAAACCCGTAGCTTACTAATAAAAGCAATAAAACATGAATGATGAAAACCTAAAAAAGTATGGAGTGAATATTACCCTGAATTCTGCAAGAACACTATAATGTTTTTGCGCGCTCTTTATTTATTTTACAAACAGAGAGGTTAAGAAACATTTACAAAAAAGTTTCGAATCGATTGATATCACTGTTATGGATAAATAATTATATTTGTATGATACTGATATGTTACAGCTAGATACATTAAACTAATGTTAAGTTTATTATCAGTGTTTTAGGGTGAAAATATGAAAAAGGTAACCTTTTGAAATTTACAATCATAATTATTTATGGCTAAAGGCTTTAAAAATCATCCTGCTGCCCTAGTTCGGTGGTAAATTAATACTCAGCATTTGGTTTAACTAACTCCTTTAACTATATATATATATATATATATATATATATATATATATATATATCAAAATAGATATGGATTCTGATTATAACAATAAAAAAATCATTATTATTGGAATGAGTAGCTAAAGGCAAGAAATTCATTGAGGAAAAGAGTGAATATATGTGTACAACCGAAGTGACTGTGTGATCGACTATTGAACAGACATACAATGAAAATGACAACAAACTTGGTAATTTATAAGTTAGAAACTTTCCTAGCTTGTACCATTAACCATTGCCGATCACTGGTCCTGGTTAAACATCTTACACATGTCTAATTAAGCTACATTACCAATGTAAGATATTCAAGTATACACTTTGAACAGACCAATTGAGGAAAATGAGAGTCTAGGGGTTACTGATGTTCTGATAGCGTAAAAAGTGGTTAACTTAGATAATCAGATATCTTAAAATTAGTTGCAGAAATTTATGCAAAGAAATTTAATCAGTTAGTAAAATCCTAGAACTCCATCGACAGATGTGACTATGATATGTATATAAGGGTTTAAGGTTGCTGCTTAATCAGTAAAGAGAACATACGAGTCGATTCACACAATATATTGCATACCGAACAAAAATATTTACAAGAAATTCATTGGAAACATGAATAACTTTGGAAAAGAGGTGAACACAATTAATAACCAAACGAGGTTCTTACCTAGCTTGAAGGACAGAAGATAACCAGGAATAGAAGTGACATGGTGACCACAATCCCTACAGTGGCTCAACAAGATATTGCCCGGTTTTAAGTCTCTGTGCATAAAACCTTTCCTATTCATAGCGTCCATAGCCGAGCCAATCTGTATTAGGAAGTGACGGATTGTATCCTCAGGCAAAGTGCGCTTGGCTAAGAAATTAAACGAGATATATGATTACCCTGTAAGTATTCGGAAAGATCACCACCATTGCAGTACTCCATTACCAAATAGACTCCACTGCTAGAGATCTAAGAAAGCAAAAGATTATTAAATATCAAAACATACACTGTGATCATATAGTCGGACGATATTGTCGTGGTTAAGGTCCTTAATTTAATGTAGGAGGTGACACATATAAACTTACTTTTAAGACACATATTTCCTTGCTAAGAAGCGTCTTCGACTTAAGGACATTTTGATCTTTCAACATGATTTTTATTGCCACAGGTTCCTCTGGATTCTAAGGGGGATGCTAATAATAATTATACATTTTACATTTTTAACTCTCCCTTTATATACAATCGCGAATGCCCCATTACCTAGAACATCCGCAGGATTGTATTCATACGCTCCCAAGCTGATCATAATTTACGATGAAGTAATTTAAATGGTGAAATTTGAGATACAAAAATTTTGTAACGTGACTATGTTGGAAGTTTTTTGACTTCTAGTACGTTGATCTAATTGATAAATTCCAACAACTGGTATATATTAAGATTATTAATAAACACCACATGCCACTATTACACCCTGAATTTTAATAGCCCTGTCAGAAGTCAGCTGATGACCGAAAACTTTGAAACTTGCTCTGCGTACAACATTCAATATAATTCAAATGGTTCAGATGGTTCTGGATGGAATAAAGGAAGCTTTCGCTTAACGGGCTTCCGTATCTGGTAGCAGTGGATCTAAGATGCCTAAAGGTAGGAACCTAGGTACATTAACGATAAAAAATAAAATGAAAAAAGTTGGTAAATCATAATGATATACTATCCTTAGTCCTTAAGAATATGTCACGTTTACTCTCGAAGGACTCCTGAGCAGTCGCTTGCACTAGCTTAGACGTCAGCGACTACCAGTATTTCATTACTCTTCAAGTGTAGAAGGTGTGTCTACAGTCTATTCTGCTGTGTTGTGATTGAGATCTTGCCAGAAGGTTTTAGCATCTGGTCGGTGGTCGGTGTTTAGTCTTAGGAGACTTTCGACCATAAACTGGCTGACGCGGTTATCACATTCGCCCTGGTGCATCATGTGTAGGAAGTGAATAGTTACGACCCGAACTCCGAGTCATTTTCACTAGATCTCATATTAACCATTTATGAGGAAGACGTCACAAACCTCCATCATATCCCATCCCAAAGTATAAGTGACCACGCAGTTTTTGTCATTGACTTTCATATATTTGTGTCAGCTTAAGCCATACCGAACGCCTAGAAAGCGAATATGCAAGATATTATGCACTCAGCATTCCCAGAAGATTGGAAAATAGAACCAGAGTCCCCCATTGAAACGGCTTCTGATTTATGCAGATATTTTTACACAAAAGCCACTGCAACGCACATACCTTGAACTACATCAAAGGGTCCTAACAACTCTCCACCATGAATCATTAAAGAGATACTGAATAATCACTGAAATGTATCGAGAATGTGGGAGAGGTGGAGGCTAGTTTTTTCTGACAAGATGAAATATCATTATCGGGAAGCTTGGAATACTTGTGCCTCAACCTTTCGCTTTTCGAGAAAATTGTGTGAAGAAAAATTTGTTAGGTAGTCTACGGAATACTGTAGACGCTTATACTCGTACATAAGCCAGAGAACTAAGGGAAGAGGAAATATCCCAGCATTATAAGAAGACAATAGTACTTCATCATTAGTAGAAAACGATCATGGTAAAGCTCAAGTATACTCAAATCACTCTAGCAATCTACATGCTGAAAAGTTGCCTCCTTTTTCAGTTTGTACACACATTGGACACTATGATCATCAAAGAACTCGATGTATATGATTTGATAAACGAGCTAGATATAGGCAACTAAACGGACTCAATGAAATGCATCCTAGGTTATTAGAAAACTAGCAAATTGAATCGCGGATTCTCAAAGTATATATTTTATTATATCTGTAACCCAGGGTCTATCTCCAAAAGAATGAAATGATGTTATAGAATGTTCAATCTTCAAAAAAACTACTAGATGCAAATCTGAGAACTATCGACCCATAAGCCTAATCAGTATGGTTAAGATATGTTATTTTAGTGTCTCGATGAAAATCGGATTCTTTCTCAATAGCAGCAAGGCTTTGAAACAACTTATTGATGTTTAATTAATTTAGTAGCTCGTGAAAGATGTTATGCTCCTAATTATTAAAAGTTACCTATAGATGTAGCCTAAAATGACTTCAACAAGGCTTTTGACTAAATTCCTCAAGAACGAGCGTTATACAAGTTAAGTTGCATTGGGATCGGAGGCAATTTATAAATGTGCACGGATGACTCAGAGTTGTCTAGTTAGATAAGTGCATTTGCGTGAAGTTTGGGAACATGTTTTATTCCTCCCGTATGTAAATGATACTCCTGTTACCATATCACCGTTGGTTTTGGTAGATGCTGATGATATCAAGACACGGAGAGCGACAAACTATGGTCACCGTTGTGTCCTTGATCTGTCTCCCCACTTTTGTGCAGAGGATAACTTGTCTAATCTTGATTAAGACATTGACGCGTTAGGCTGACTGGCTTAACTTTGATGCTCGAGTTCAATGTGAGACCGATTGCTGAGGGTAGAGAGACGAAAATTATCATATCACCTTGTTTGCTGAAAGACAAGTCAACTGAAACACTACTCCATTTATTCCCAATTCTGATCTGGTTCCCGATTTCAGATTTGTGTAAAATGATACATGGCAGTGAATCATACATCAAACGAAAACTTATGCTCTGTAGAATAGAACAGGGACAAAAATGAATGTTAGTATTTTACAAGCTTTGAATTAAATGAAATAACGTCCCGAAAAATAGCTCTCGCAGTATATCTAGGCTTCTTGTTTCTCTGTTCACGTCAGTCACCAAGGTGCAGATACATAGACGGTGAATGACATCGAGCTACCTTTTGTCCAGACATATAGTGACCGAATATTCATTCTTAGTCAAGACCTTAAAACCACTGCACACTGCCTAGCAATAGCCGTCCAAGGTTTAAGAGCCCTATGGCCAATACGTAGGACCGATAACCATTTCGACGTTACAAGCTTTATGACAGTTTTACCGTATCCTTACGCTTTAAACTTAGGTACTGCAAACATGCGGCTAGCCCCTGTCTTAAAATAGGCAGTGGAATGTTGGATAAGCCTCAAAGAACAGCATCTAAATTAATTTCCGGAATCTCAAGGCTTCTGTATGATGCTATACTTGCTAAAATAAACCTACTTCCATTGTTAAGTAGAGTAAAAAGAGGCGATTTAATCACCCTCTTTAAATGAATTAGATATAAATCTTCGCCTGAATTAGCAAGAGCACTTTGAAAACGTCGACAAGCCCAGAGAAATTACTTGTCAGCTGACTCTCGGTTATACCATCGAATCATCATCGAGTAGCATTCATCACCTCAATATGTGTCTAAGATTCTATTTGTTAACATTTTCAAAAATAATTTGGATCAACTGGGAGACCACCATCGCCATGAAAAACACAGGTCACTTAACACCCCCTGCTTTTCGAACTGAAATTGAAACTAATCAGAGAACATCAGTAATAACCAACTACAGCAGATAAAATTCGTGCATCACAAAGCCTTTTTGGAATCTCGAAAGTAGAAGAAAAAGAGGAAGACCAAAGAACACATGGCGTCGTGAATTGGAGACAGACATGAAAATATGAGTTAAAAATGAAGACAACTAAAAAGGACTGTCTGGGACAAAGTTGGCGTAAAAGTCCTGATCGACATCTCATGCTTCCGCGAGAAATAACAGAAGCTTTTTCGCCAAACCATCCACTTATACCTAACATATTTGTCTTGTAAGCCAAGTCAGTAGACGTTTAAGTGTTTGCTGGATATAATTCAGACCAAGGAAAACTTACAATTATCAATTAGTTTGATGATGTCACAGGTATTCAGTGTTTGACAACGCTTCTACCAGTAACACCTTCTAATATATTTCGTTCCCGCCCAGAGAAATCAAAAGACAGAGTCGAGGAGATCGGAAGAGTATATTTGGCGATGAACAATATATCGGAATTCTCTGATCTAATCTGACTAGCGATTGCGGTTGATGTTGAGCACGGCGTTACCACACGTGATCTGGTGCGGATGCCTGACCGAGCGCCTTCAGCTAGGTGAGTCCACTAAAACATATGGTCAGCATCCAATGTCGAAAACTTAGTGCTATTTATTTTAGGGATTTATTTACCGCTACAAGTTCATACCACTAAGCTGGCGTATGCATTCCTCCTGTCCATTTCTTTCCTATCCAAGCAAGCCATTTTTATGGTAGGATTTCATTCGTTTGGTGTAGAAACCAAAGGAGCAAGATTACTTGGCCTCCGCAAAGGGGCAATCCAGGATTGAGTAACTATGGCTTTGAATTTCATGTCAGACGAGAACAATATTACGGTTTGTATGTTGTAGACTCGTTAAACACAACAATAGCTCCCGTGACTGCACTTAAAATTTTACTTAGATGAGGTGGCCAAAATTCATTCCTGAATTTTTGCATCTTAGTACCAAGAGATCGTCTTTTCGATATAAAGAGGCCTATCTATTATTATGTTCGAACCTAATCTTCAGGAAAATTATTTTTTCAATAGTGATGACGTGATCGGGCTGTGACATCTAGGGTGAACTCCAAGAATTCTTTCAAAGTATTCAGTAGAAAGTGCGACTTCTTTTGCCATAAATAAGGGGTATCAAAATTATTGATCCTAATTAAACAAAGTTCTTTGTTCGAGATATTCTTTATCGAATCCAAAATTCGTTTTTTCTTCCAAGTGATTTTGTATTGAAACACAGTGATTTACTAGTGTGAAAAGGATTAGGAATGACATGATACATCACCAACATGTCCCGAGAAACTTTTGTTCTACAGTAATTGTAAACGTAAGGCAACCTAAGCTGTTGAGTGTAGTTTATTCTTAAGTCAGAATAGCTTTGTGGCTACACCATTTCAAATTAACAGTATTCCTTCAAACGTCAGAAGAAACACCAAAAATACTTTCTCCAATGAATTCTGAATGCGGTTTCAAAGAGTTCGGGAGTAGGGCAAACTTACGTTCCTAGAATTGAACCAGAAACAATATGCTTTATTGTCCTCAAGATATTTTAGACTGAAAACCCTATAGTAGGATATTGAGAGATGCTTTAGTTTCTGTGATGAAATGTCTAAAACTAACGTCCACAACTCGTACTCTTAATTAAGTCATATAATAGTAGGGAGTACTTCAGATGTCCGAATCCCACGTTTTCTCGAAAAAAGATGTCAGAGGATTGCTGTAACTATCTCCATTAAGGAATTATAACATTTAGCACACGGTAAATCACTAGCAAAGTAATAAAACATGTGATTCACGGATCAAACTGTCTGGTAATTCACTGGTCATTGTTTATAAATCGAACAGAGTAAAGAGAACATTACTTACCTTTGGTGTTCCAATTATGTAGCCGAAAATCAACCTAAAGAGATTTCTGCTTATATTTGCGGATCATAGTTTCGGGTTCGGTGATAAACACCATCAAGTAATTTCCGTAAGTCAGGACGGAGTGTCTGTCCCTGCTGATTTATATAGCAATGAGGGGCTATTTTAAGTGTATTGTATGTTTGTACTATAAGGTCTGTCAGGAAGGAAAATTGCGTTGAATTTCAGATATCGTCCACTTTGATTAGAAATTAGAGTGAAACGACAAGTTATCCCATTCTATTTGATACTAGAAGAAACTTTATTACCTTGCACGTCCTATATTGTCGTGCGGATCAGCTATCAGTTGATAAATATGCACGTAGTAGACTTAAGTCAGGGAGGCAATCTGGCTTAATCAACATGTGACCAGCAATGGTGTGTGCATTAACTAACAGGCTGGAAGAGTATCTTCAACAAAATAACACTTTTGACATCTACAATGGGAAGGTATTACAGCTGAAATCCTCAGCTTTTAAATGGAATAAAGTTAAAATTCTTCCATGAAATTATCTCAGCAGTCGCATAATATTGATTTTTCCCATTGTCACCAAACAACAAACCGTCCAGCCGTTTCAAAATATCTGGATTTGTCCAATATACTTGTGAGCAGCATGTGAGACACTTGTCAAATGGTTTGAGAACTTCACCCTCTGTACTACCTATTTATCTAGGCAATAGAACATATGCTTAGGTCGAGCACCGTACTCTTCATTAGAAACGTAGGCGTAGTAGTAAAGCCTATTTCTGAAACGGACATACATCTACCTTTCGGCTCCGTTCAAATTGAAGCATTCCTTAACTTCGTATAAATTTCTTCAGATGTTCACGTACAACACTGGTCGTTTTTACGTGTACGTGATTGTTTACCAATAAGAGATTAAATACATATCTTTAGACTACATTTCCTTGTTGAGCCTCGTTCGATGAAACTAGGTAGGATACGAAGCCTTTCTTCATGTTACACCTCGAACCGGGTGTCTGAGAAACTTTTTCTGACTCAATTCATATTTGGCTTTGATCACTACTGTTGCACAACGGGGTCAGCCTAAGCGTATTATATGAAATTAAATAGGGTTTACATTTTATGGTTCAATCATCGTATGTCATAAGTCAGTGTAGTCCCAAAGAGTAAACGGAACACTGAGAATTCATTACTTTCTCGGTAACGAACAAAAAAAAACAGATCAAAGACACGTAATTCTTAAGTTTACATACTTTGTAAAGTACATGTTACCTCAGTAAATATATCTATTTCACACTTAGTACTATCCGTGCTAGTGACAAACCAAAACAGTGCCTCAATACTTCACAAGTGCATAGAGTCAGAAACACTGTGGTCGAAAGTATAAAGCGAGGTACATCAGAGGTAAAACCATTCAAACTAAAGCTTGAGTTGTGCCTTCAGTCACATTATTTGATGACTAATGGGACCACATTTTACGTTCGCGGGAATACGAACTATGAGTTAAAAAGTCACAAGAAAATCGGTACAGGACTGGAATATGGAAAAAAATTTTAGTCGGCTCACAAATAGCTGCCAGGTAAATTTTCCCATCAAAGTAAACTTTTACTTACGTTTGAAAAGAGCGAATTCATAGATTTCAAGTAAACTACCAATATTTAAATTTTAGGATTGTTAAGAGGAATGCTGGTAAAAAAAACCCACAAGTATTCAGAGTTTGATAACGCCCACACACGTAACACCTTTACACACAAAGTATGCCAACCCATTCAAGTCAGAAAAGAAGAGGTCGAGAGACATATTTGGACGGTTATCGATATCTCGGGAGGCGTTTGATCCAAGCTCAGTTAGTCAGCTACAACGTAGGACCAGGCACATATATGTATCGGTTCAAGTAACCATACCTCATTAACACAAGATGAACACCGAATTCATAGTGGTTAATTCAATGGTGGTAATATAAAAAAGAAGGATTGTATATAAGGATATAGTAAAGAAAAAATTAGTTGGTCCAAGCTAGCCAACGAATGTAGGAGATATGTAGCACGGCGTTCCCACTCATGATCTGGTGCTGATGAGTGACCAAGCACCTCCAACTAGATGTGTCCATTAAAACTGAGGTCAGAATCAAATGTAGAAGACTTACAGAACCATACGACAAAACTACATCAAATCCATTAGTTTTGCCTTGTCTAAGTGATCTATTAAACGATTGTCTATTATTACACTAATCCCTGTAATTTATAACAAAGTATATGTACATTGAACAAAACCATATTACTAATTATAATGAAGAGAAATATCTCACATTCCTTGAAACATAACGAGTGATAAAGGCGAACTATTGAGACTACTTGAAGACAGAATATAACGAAACAATATTACATCAAATATAATTTAAATTCTGAAATATATAGAAAGCCATTCGTTTTATTTAAGAATTCTGAAAGAATACATGGCCACACAGAATTCAACTTACACAAACTAATCTCAGAATAAACTTAGTAATACCAAAGTTAGGTATATATAAATGTCACAAGATCAATTGGACACATCATTAAGTTCAGTGTTAGACTTTGATGTGATTTCTCCAGACGAGCATTCAAAGTGTTCTAGTCTACGTTTACGAACTTCCGTAAATTCCGAGTTTTCTAGATACAAAAATACAAATTAAGAGGAAAAAAGGATGAAATGCAGGTGAAATAAAATATTGGTCCAGTTGGTTTATCATGTTTTAATGTAACGCCAATGACTTATGATGTACCACAATGTCCTTCAATGAACGTGAGAGAAACTTAAATTGTTAAATATAATGGCGGAAATTCGGAACTCCTGAGTTCAATCTTTGACCATATAGTAAATACAAACTGAAATTTATAGAACCAAACCATGCAAGTACCGATACTTTAAAGATAGATAAATCGTTCAGCAAAAACCTCAGATTTGGTTATCAGAAGAGCTAATCGAAAATTCATGTTTTTTGTCATTAAAAGCCGTTATTTTCCAGATGAATTCGAGATCCGCTTTTAACTATGCATTTAAAATAAAGAAATATTTTCAATGACAAAACTACCACGATCAACATAAAACACAAGATTAGAGAACTTACCCCGAAATCTAACACATCATTGCTACTCTAGTTAACCCAAGCTCGTTAACACCCTAGTAGTTCCAATTCAAGCTTCTGATAGGAGAATACCGGTGATAAAATATCTGTACTTATTTTCGTCATTTACTTTTAAATTCCATACCTTACAGTCATTTTGAAAAATAAAGTAGTAGATTGTGTGACTGTAGTTTTTTCCTGATGATTGTTCAAATGAAGCAAATCGATGTCTTTATATTCCTACTAGAAAGAAATATCTCCCAGGAACCATAACGGAATTTATTTAGATTAGATTTCCAATGAACAGTTTTTCATTATTATTAAAAAAGAGATAGAGACTCAATTTCGAGATTACGAAATTCACTTTTAGAGGCTTATTCTTAAGGAAACACTAAACAATAATTCCCCTCTATTTCTTCATGTCTGAAATTGAGAGGAAGATATAAAACTCATTTTACATAATCTTAACTATGATTGAAACCTACTTGACGTTTTCGTACAAATTATTTTTCAGTTTTAACTAAGCGGTAAATTAATTTGTAACTATTCTCTTTATGTTGTAACGAAGAGGTTATCCAATCCTAAAGACTAATCAGTCCTAGTGGTTTATGCCTTAGTGTTACATTCACAGTTTCAGTCATTTATTGTGAAAGCTGTTTACTTTCTTGTTGTTTTCTAAGATAACTTCGTAAAATATTTTTCCGGAAAAGTATTTTAGAACTGAAACATATCATTTTCCATTCATCATATGTAAGAAGAACAAGTAAATAGTTTTAACTCAACTACATATTTAATCACCATGAAGGCATCTGAAGAATGGAAAGGAATGAGAACAAATTTCTCTTCCATAGCTTGAATATCAAGATGCCAAGGCTGTTCCATTAAAAAAATCGAAACTAGAATAAGAAGTTTACTTACCTGATGCAAGGGGACTCTTACCATCCGAGTCTAACCTGAAATAGAATGAAATGTTAGTTGAAAAACACATGTAGATTTGCTATCATAAAATAGTGCGAACCAGAAATATTAGATCACCAACTAAATGGCAGCTACAATGAGGGACTAACATTGACAGTTGTTATCGACACCTCAGAGATCTCGTTTTTTGAACCAGAATCTTTGCCTCATGTGAGCAGATTGATTTTGTATCTAGACAGTCTTTAGTGTAAGAATTAAACTATAAGAAAACCTCGGACCATGAGACGAAATACAGAACTTATTTGAAAATAATCTGTCTACTGAATAGTCAGATGATAGGTAGACACATGTGGTCCAGATATTAGAAACAACCGACGTAATGATGATTTTAAATGACCACTGAGTCACCTGGTATTAAATCGGAAACATTATGGGAATTAATATGTATAAATATTATTCGTCACAAAATAAAAACCAAATAAGTTTTTGAGATGGTGGAGAAGATTTGTAGCTCAGGTGGATGATTTTGATGGAGTTTTGTTCTCTGAGCTGGATGGTTTGGTCGTGGAGCTTTCATCGTTCTTCTGAACGACATCATCAGCACAAACTTCAGATAGAAGTGAAGTGTTCGATTTTCTCCTTATGTGTTTCACAGCTTGTTCTGTGCACCTCGATGTTGATTGGTTATTGTTGACCTTAAATTTATCATTGTTCACTTCTTTGATAAATTTGATAAATTTAAGGTCAACAAGAACCAATCAACATCGAGGTGCACAGAACAAGCTGTGAAACACATAAGGAGAAAATCGAACACTTCACTTCTATCTGAAGTTTGTGCTGATGATGTCGTTCAGAAGAACGATGAAAGCTCCACGACCAAACCATCCAGCTCAGAGAACAAAACTCCATCAAAACCAAATAAGTTTACTGGGATGATCTTAAGGTGAATGCTACAGAACACACATGTACTTGGGTTTCCATGGAACTCAACAAAAAATAACGAAAATAAAGTAATATTTAATAAATATTCATAAAAATACGAATATATCACTGAATATATCCAACGGTATTAACAAATCACGTAATTTCTTACAACAAAATCCAGTAATCAGATATTTACATTAAAGTTCACAAAAATTAGGCTCCAAATTGAAACTAATCACTTAAGAGTTTTTTATCTCTAATATGTATTCATCACGGAATATGTAAATAAACAGCTGAACCAACTCACGTGAGCTAACTTTAGAAAAAAAAGGTAGGTAACCGCTTAGTTTACATGACCAGAAAACCATCGTGATTGGGTAACTCTCATGATTAAAAGTCCAAATTTCATAAAATATGTTCTAATTAAACGAAATGTATGACTTTCGGGACATGACATGCAAGAATGAGAAAACATGAAAACTGTTTGCATTGAAGTGTTGTGCACTCCATCATGTATATACAAACTAACAAAGCAATAAGTCAAGGTTGTCATAGACTGGAGAAAAAAATATATATTAAATAACCACCAGAACTCACACAAACACCAGACATACATATTTCTTCACCCTTCTAGACTTCAATAAAAGGATATAACCAACACTACAGGGGTAATACACTGTGAAGATGCAAATTACAATGCCATTCATCAATTTAGATTTGAGTAATTTGCTTATCATTAGAGAGTAAGGCGATATTATTATCGTGAGCAAAGTCAAAATCTTCTTTTGAATAGCAGGTTTACATCAAAACCGTGCACAACCCTGAGGAAATCATTGATGACAAAACTGAAGAAAAAATGACCATAACAGAGAAGCCCACTTAGGGGAATTCTAGTATTTACCCAGCTGTTCCTAGCACCAGGCAACTACATACTCCCTCTAACTTAGCATTAACACCTGATCCACATAAGGGAGGTGAACATAATTTCCATGGTACAGTCACTACATCACATGTTCGTGGACTGAACAACTTCTAAGAACTTGTGTAACAAGAGCAAATAATATACTGTCAATCAACAAATAACCAGAATATCACTAGGGATTTTCGAAAAAAAACATAGTGTATTGAATAACTGGCAAAACAGTTTCTAACGTGAGATGAAACCATCAGTTTCCATGTCAATTAACAAAGCGAAATGCTTCAAGTTGAACAAACCACTAAGGAGGGCTGAATATCCAGCACTGTTAGTTATTCAAATTCAGGAAGACACACGGATGGGACCAACTAGAAATGAAACCACCTAATAATACATAGACTGAATTTTACATGCAGAGCATAGAAATAGAAAGAGTGACTTAATTTTCAGTGAACAATATCTGTATCAGTCGTAGCCTATAATAAAACAGAATGAAAATATTTTAGAAGTCTATTCAAAAACTAGTTCAACGGGACTATACAAAAAAGTAAACATAGATTCACTTTGAAAATTGCTTCAGTACATGAAAACGTGTTGGGACCAAAAGTCAGACGGCTTTAGTAATCGGGAGATATAGTAATGATACAAACGGAAATAATTAAGGTGAATCAGAAAACTGCTTACTGAGAATTTACATCACTATTTGAGGCTCCCTTTCCTTCATTATTTGATCCCACATCGTCGGTGTTGAGGACAGTGTTAATAGAAGTCACAGGTTCTAATTCACTTGCAGGAGCACTAGCCGCATTGAGGTACGCATTCATTTGCAGGACAGCTGCATTCAACAGTACATTTATTTGACGTAAAGCGGTGAAACGGGCTTCAGCACTGGCACGAAGACGAGCTTCATCAGTTGATTCAGGTGGTCCAGAGGGCGGTTCTGGCATAGGAGTATTTCCACTAGAGAACAAGTTACCTAAGCGGAGTGTGACACAATGGTTACATTAATGAGAATTGGTAGGTAGGAAAATGAGCAAAGCCTAGTTTACAGAATACTATAAAGTTACACAACGTACTCATAGGCTAAGTAACATTCGAAATAAAAACATCCCGTGCACTAATTTCAACTATATCTTTCGTTTAAGACGATTAATGATCATTCTTGGCTTTCTAAATAATTTTTTTAAAAGTCAGAGAACAATCAATCACAGTCATGATTTTACTATCCTAACAGTCAATAAGTTCGTAAAATCACATAACAGGCAGACAATCAGATAACACCCTTCTTACTTAGATTATTTATTTATTTATTTCAACACATAGATATTGGTACAAAGAGGCACCAAATACATATGCGCCACACAAATCTCATTTGATATGTGTGAGGGTCGTGATACTGCCCGGGTGCCCAAACCGAAGCAGGTGGTTTTCTTAGGGGGCCACTCCCCAACAAGTACATACTGATGATTAATTGCTGCATAAGGTTACTACTGGCAGTAAGAAATTAAACAATATATACATGCTGAGAGAGGAATATTAAGAAGGAATAGCTTAATATTCCTTCTTACTTAAAAGGTCAAAAATACAAATATAGGGGATATACACTTTACTGCTTCGAATTAATCGTCCATGAATGTACAGTGTCGATGACAGATACCCAAGATAGAATATGCTTCTACAGAAAGTTGAAATATCTAAATGAAAACAGGTAATTTAAATCTTCATGTGAATGAAATTAGCAAATACTAATAAAAGTTGTCTCGAAAACCAAATGGAGCTGAGTCTGTCAGTCACTTTTTTCATATTTTGTCTTAAATATGACTGATTATAAACACAGGATCCCGATTGTGCAAGATACATTGACAATATACTTTGAAAGTTGGATAGTTTAAAATTACAAGCAGAATACATTAAGATATTTATTACACACATTACAGCCCACTTTAGCTGTTCTAACATCAAATAGTATGAATGTAAAAATGAAGTAAAAACTGAGCTTGCGAGATCGATAGCGAATTAAAATGATATACAACATACAAACTGTGTGGTTATAAACAGAATTTCCCGTTAAAACAGTGTAATAGACAATCCACCTAACTTACCAGGGTATATTATAGGCATCCCCATAAAGGGTGGTATGTATAAAGGAGGCACAGACGGAAAGACTGTCTGGGCTTGTGTAGTTGTTGAATTATTAGTAGGAGGAATAAATGGTGGATAAAACGGGAATGCATTTGCAGGAGGCTAAATAACAAACAAAATATTGAACAACAGTAACAATATGTGATAACACGAACAATTACTTAATCGATTGGAGAGCAACTGGTCGCCTGTGACATGTAATCACATCCTAAGTGACTATATAACTTGGCCAATTAATTATATTTATTGATTATAAATACTTAATTGCATGATATTGTAAATGTGTTCACACAGTAAGATATTCACTAGTTGATGTTAAATACTGAACAGCTAAAATTATATGAAACTGTATATAAATTATATAAAAATCAGTGTATTCGCGTATCTCCAGTGTCAAATAAATCCATATCAGAAGTCCTTGTGCTTTCACTAAACGTCGTTGGATTCGAGGTTTTCAGTACTAGACACAAGTCATCTAAGAATTTCCGCGGATATAACAATGTTATGTTGAAAACGAAAGTATAACTAGGCAAACGTAACCATGTGCCACCTCCCCAAACAATACCAATTTTAACTATTCTGTAAATGAAAAACAGTTGTCAAAAGATATTAGGGAAAAATCTTTTTAATCCTTGATTAAAGAATAGAAGCTTAGATATTTATCGAAATTAAGCAGGGAGGTATTTATAAATTAATCACCCCAGCCTCGATTCTCTTCCAGAAACCCATCCAGTTGAATAAAATGTGAATCTACATTACCAATGACTTACATATATTCTGCCTTACCTCACTTAAAGCCTCAATTATTTTCACAAATTCCAAAATAATATTCCAGAATATCCTCTCTAAATGAACCGACCATAGATCTTAATCACTATGCAACAAATTTACTTTTAAATAGGACAGCCTAATAATAGACTTCGTTTTTATTAGTTCATGTGTCAAGCAAATATAGCTTTCATGCTCCCATGGCCTCATATCACACGCTAGTGAACAGTATAATACTAATTGGTCAGCAAATAAGGAAAAGAAATAGTTAATAATTAGCACAAAATTCCGTGGCTTAAAGCAGACTAAGAAGTCCTAAATTTAGGGGGACCGAAACCGAGAAGCTGGATAAAAATTTGTGTGCTCCACTTTGAGTCACATTGCGTGCAAACATTGGAATAACTATACGTCTGCGCGAACCAAGTTCAGTAACGTTTGAACCTGTGGCCCGACGGCCCTAAACCAAATCCCATACCTATTAAGTTATTGGTTCACTTAAAGTAAAGCGAATTAATCTTAAGCATTTTATTGTTCCTATATTATTATTATTATTATCATTGTTTTTTAGTTAGAATTGTTCGCAAATAATGGGTGACTTGTCACCATAAGTCTGAAGGTCAACTGGTGAAGCTTACCATCCATGGCATTGATAAGTTTTGATTATTAGCTGCAACAGATGGTGTCGCAGTTGAATTAGATGGACCAGAAGTTGTTGAGCTTTCTGGTTGTGTATTATTGGTAGTTGCTGAACGATGAGGTTGTTGTCGCTGTCTTTCTTGCACTCTAGCTTCACGTATGACATCCATTCGACAGGTTGGACAAGTCTGTTGACGTTGAAACCACGAACGTAGACAACCAAAATGGAAAATGTGAGAACAAGGTAACCTTTTAAGAGCTGAAGTCTCAACCGATGGTATATTATCTGTCTGAAGATTCATTTCTTCACGACAGATTATGCAAACAGTATCTGAGGAGGAAGCCAAATCATCTGGAGTGGCATCGCGGAAAACTGTGTTCATGTATCGAATGGCACGACGTGACATCAACATATCCTTTACATAAAGGAATAATCAAAGGATCCCAAGTTATATTATAATTACAGTAATCACACATAAAACTGATGATAGGTGATAATGTAAATGAATGTAAAACCTTATGTCTCTTAAATGTGAGCTAATCATGCAAACGGTATTATACAACGAATGAGCACCATATTTACTGTTAGGTAAACGTCAGACGAAATCCTTTCTTGGATTATAATTTTCATAGGGAGGAATACGGATGAGCCTGTAACTCCGTAATTATTATGAACATAGTAGCTTTGATGAACTACTGTTACAATTGTCATAACAGAAAAGGGTTAAGAAAATTGAAACGTATCTCACCAGTAGCTAGTCTGTAAATAAAAGCTAACACCCATGATTGTTAAATGCCCAAGGATATATTACCACAACTGAACAAAATACTTCTGTGAATTTGGTGTTCATCTTGTTGTGCTAACGAGGTATGGTATCTTGAACCGATGTACATATGTGCCTGGTCCTACATTGTAGCTGACTGACTGACTGACTGACTGACTGACTGACTGACTGACAAGAATACACTGAGATAATTGGTAAGAATTATATTGAGTGGGGAAAATATTTTACAACAAACAAACTTTAAAGAAAGAAATTTTAGTTTAGTTCCCATGGTTTCGGCAGCAATTCAAGTGCATATTCCAAAAAACTGCAACTCTTCCATAACTCAGAAGCATATGAGAACCAATCAAATCTGTTTTTGTAAATCCCATTGAGATTAGTTTTCACTTAGATTATGCACTGTCAGTGTCGTATAAAAGGTTAAGGGCAAAGAAGTTTTTCATTACTTTAGGTAACAGTCAGATGTACAGGAAAAAACTCATTTCGATTATTTATCAAGAACACGTTTATGAACACGGCTTGCAGCTACACTTTGAGTGAGGGGTGGGTTGGGTGGAATTTTAACCTTAGATCTACTGGAAGAAAGATGGTTTCCTTGATCACTAAGCACCGGAATAAAACAACATTAACGAACAAATATTAATAACGTTTGATGAAGGTATATATTTCCTTGACAGATCTAAATCTTGGTTATTGAGTTAACATTTACCTTAGAAACACAAACAAAATATTCAACGAGCTGTCAACTTGAACCGATGCATATACATGGCAGGTTCTACGTTGTGAATAACTATAAACTGACCTACATAATCTTACTAGTTTACGGAAAATCGAGTGGGCAGTGCTCATGAGTTTACTGATATGAGTATAGAACAAACCAAAAAATATATATGTTTCCCAGCTGAGATGATTCGTTTTCGTTTGTACACTTTTAGATGTTCATCACATTAGGTTTGTCTGACTTCGGTATGTTATTTGGTCTTCTTGTGGGGAAAATATTAGCTGATGAGACAATTACGTATGTTTCACACTTGCAAATGTTATTTATCACCAGTCAGTCACGACGTAGAACCTGTACGCATGTACATTGGTTCAAGTTGCCACACTCCTTTAGCACAGAAAGATGAAGTTGTCAGGCCAAATCCCAAAATAGTGACAGTCTTCTATCGAGCCCCTTCAACGATAACTAATGGCAATGTGACCTACTGCAGTCCATTGATAAGTCAATTACGGAGGTTACCACGTGAGACGATGTCTCTCCCTGTTTTTGAAGTTTGTGTTTGCCAAAAATAGATGGTTATCTGAGCATAGTTGCAACAGACGGTTGGCATTATCTGTTCGCTGAGCCGCAACACCTTAAGATCCGCCTAAGTACCTTTCGGTTCGGTTTAGTTTACCTAATTGAGCACTGAAATCACTTGCTACTATCACTACATTAAGGCTTTTATTTTTTGAATGAAGTTGGATAGCTTCCTATAAAATTTATCTTTAACTTCATCAGAGCTGCAATCAATGGAAGCGTAGGCAGAGACAACAAACAAGCAGAGGCGTGTATCCCTATCTTTTCGAGTTCTTACTGTCTCGTTTAGCTGGACAGTGCACAAGCGAATATCTATTGGAATCCTGTCTAGGAGATCCTCTCCTACTTCAGAACTCAATATTGTATATGCACCAGCGAGGCCTCGGAAAAAATGGCAGTGACGTTTTCAGGTGCTCGGAGGGTAAATCGTGCTGTTTGTTCACACTGATAAAGTGAGATCAAATGAATGACTGTATTTGTATCCTGTATAGGAGATTCGGAGACGTAGAAGTTATCAAAAGAGTGAGATACTAGAGTCCTAGCTAAAGAAGACTGTTTCCCTATCTGACACAAGGTTCGAACACTTAAAGCTCCAACGTTTAGTTTAGAGAGTGGTTTTAGGAGACCAACAATAACATCTTGTGAACCCAAATAGTTAGCATTGGTGGCGCATGATGATAAGGATAAACGAGGTCGGAAGAATTAAGGTGTGAGGAAGGGATTCGACCATCAATAAGATGATCTCGGATGCTGATAGAAGTATGAAGGCGGTTGTCCACACCGCTGGAGGATATTTCTTCTTGAGAGGACTGAAAAAAGTTAAATTAGTGGTGTTCTTAGCGACCTGAAAGCGTGACGCATAGTCCGAGAGACAACTGCTTGTGGTTGATCGTGTACAGCCTTTTTTAGAAACTTTTCGGTGTTAGATCCCCACTTAAAAATGCCTTACAGCTAGATACGGAAATCCATGGGGTAAAATAAGATGTGACAGCCCCTTCCATAATGAGAAGGCAGCATCGCTGCAGATGCTGGTTGTCTGATGGAAACACGTTACTGGTGTCACACTCCTCTACAGTCAGCAGTACCACTTCACCCTCTGACCTTAAGTTTCTACTTTTAGTCATACCGCTCTCCAACAGACCTGCCTGTCATGGTAGGACCTAAAGAAACATGTGTTCCAGCCAATATAGCTTGGATAAGTCCACGACAGGCAAGCCCGACTAATATGTTAAGGTAGTAGCTACGGTCGGGTTATTTAGTCGGTCAGTCAGCTACAACGTAGGACCAGGCATATATGTGCATCGGTCCAGGTTGCCATACCGCGTCAGCACACCAATTTCATTTCCAAGTGAAATGAATTCTTCATGTTTTGGGTGTCTGGACTGTGACTTTTATCAGACTGCGTTATTAATATTGGGTAAGTAATAGTATTCGAACAACAGTTAGTAAAAAAAATCCCAAAAAAACTAATGATAGTATTATTTCAGAGTCGACAAAAGGATCCCCAACAACAAATTATGATGATATCTTTGTAATATTTATGTACGATTGTTTTTAAATTTGCAATAACAGATTGAGCGTGTGGATCTAAATGTTTAACTTATTTTTTAACATTTATGCCTTAATATATTGTAAGTGGGTTTTTCACTTGTATACTGATAAATCTAACGCAAGCAAACAAATATGCAAGATCTTTATTGAAGGTTAAGAAGAATAGTGTTCAGCGACAGAATGTACATGTTTTGAATCACGAGGTGAAACTGACCAGAACATAAAGACAATTCATATACGATTGTGTTAGTCATACATGTAAGAATGTATAACCAAGATCACGAATACTACGAAATCTTTACAGTCAAAAACTTACTCGAATCGCCTTTTTTAGTGATCTGATGCTAAGATAGATAGGTCGCGCGATAAATAAAGGAAACGGATGCAGTGACCACATGATGAACGTAAACTCAACGTACACAGCCAAACGAATAAATCCAATGAGAATATCCACATATAAGAGATACGTAGCTTTCTTATTCCAGGAATGTTCTCGCATAGAGTCAATCGAATGTAAAATATAACGTACAGTAGTCGATAGAAGACTCAATATTAAAATGAAATACTGAAAATATTTAAAAACAAATAATCCAGTGTTAAATTAAACCTATTAAAACAAGTCGCTTGCATGCGGTACATAAAAACACTTAGAATATAATAATAGAGAATGAATTTTCTAAGTAATACATCCTTATTGCTTGCCTATAATGACAGCTGTACAATGTCGTCAGCAAACAGTGAGTGAAGACAACAGCCCAATCAATCTACGTCGAACTTAAGAATATGAAAACGCGGTACTACGCTGGATATTATGGTTGAAGGGAAGACAGAAAACTTCATAACAAAATATTTCGGCCGTCTACATCGTGTGTAATATTCATGCTGTCGAAATAATATATAACTCATTGATAGGACTTTACCTAATCGTGCATAAATTTAAATCACTCAGTTTGTAAAAACATGGAATCGTTTAAGTGAATATGGAACTATCATAAGAGTAACAAGATGTTTGGGATTTTTAAAAAGGTGGGAAGTGAATCTCCAACACTGTGATTAACGGTGAGTTATATGATGCACGATCCGTAATCAGTGATCATCAACCTTTAGAGGGCTCCAGACATGTCAACACTGTACCATGGTGCAAACGTAGTCGACAGTATGAAAATCTTAATGACTTATTTAACCTTGAATGAAAAATGACGTCATAAATTACGAGAAAACCACTTCAAAACACCTAGAACTACTCATTTTTAAAAATATTGGTAATAATATATTCGGGAAACGACAGTTTGCATGACAGTATGCAGGTACGATCAGGTTGATATGCATTCCATAATAGTCTTTTACCAATATAAAACTGACATTACATAGTGCCTCAAGTTAGCTGGTAATTGACAGTTAGGAGATTTTGCCAATTCAATTAATTCCAAACTGTTTGACGGTCTAAATAATCAATGTACAGTTGTTTCTTCAAAAATGTCTGATCTACGTTTTAAGTACTGGAACATTATATCTAGACTCCTAAATAAACATTTAATAGATTAGTTAGTTTCTACTTTATAAAAACAACAATAGTCTTCATTTTAATCTTCTTTGAGAAGCAATCAATCATTAAAAATCCCTTGTAAACTTATTCGTGGGAAATATTCGGTTAGGACGTACCACTAAGATGATACTTTAGATGGAATATATTGTTTCCGTTCGAAAAAAAACCTAGCAATAGTTACCATACTGCTTAACAATGATTAGATAATTAACAAAATTAAAACCCTGGAATCAATGAGCGTGCAAGACTATAGGTGTTTAACAGTCTAGAATGTCAGACAGATGCAACTACAACAGCGGCCCACTTTGAGCTCTCAATTGACAGTTGCAGATTTTATAGATCATACCACAAAGAAAACATTTTCTCACAACCCATAAATTCATAGGTAGGTTTGACTGAATTCTGACAACAATGCTTTCGACGTCTTATACCTGACCCGCTAACTAACGTAAGTTACGGTAGACGGAGACGTGGCAAGTACCAAAAATAAAACAATTATCTCGCACAACTAATCAATTTGATATATCAGATGACCATTGGTACATTCCCAGTATGACAGTGAAACTTAATACACACAGAACCTGCTCACCTATTCAGCCAAAGTGTACAATTATAGACAAATGTAAGGTATGAACAAAGTTAATAATATTCAAACCTCGATCCCCAAAGCCAAATGTACGGATATTCCGTGTGTAGCTGGCTTCCAGTAGGCTGTTTTGATGAAATATACGTCCACTAGAGTTAGAAGAGTAATAAGCACTGAAAAATAATTTGTTAAAATATAAACCTACTCATTGTTCGAAGATGAAACACAACACTAATGACAGGCGATCTTTCCATCTAAAAACCGATAAGAATTATTAATAGACTTTACATAATCGACCCTTTCTTCAATAAGCCAGTGAAACGCTCTGACAAATAAAAGTATAGCGAACAAGAACAGAAATTCGACTCCCAATTCGTTCTGGAAGAAGGCAAAAACCAAGCACATGTCGAAGAAAGCATACCATGACTGTGAAACAAGATTCTAAAGACGGGTGATAAATCACTAGTAAAACTTACATCTACTTCTGCTCTTTGAAGCCGACCGAAGAAAGCATATGTGAGTGCTTTTACGACCAAGAAGAGTATAACAACACATTGAAAGAGGAGGATCTAATGGACGTTTAAGACATTTCGAAAGAGCTTACAGAAAGGGATGGCTGATTATTGGTTAAGTACACAACGGTAGGGTAAAACTGTTTTTTGCGGTAATAAGTGTTCGTTACGACGATGGATGAAACAATCAAACTTGCTGATGCAAGAATAGCGTACCTCATCCTCAAGGTCGTTACACGTAGCACGACCTTAAGAAAATTCAAAAAATAGTTTGGATCTGAGCAATTGTGTTATAAGCAATATATCAAGAAACTCTTAAAGTATGTCTTCCATCATGCTCGTGTAGTACACAGAGATAAGTACCACTGTGAACGGATTCTAAATTTTAGTGGAATTTATCATTAATTTAAATAAGACTTAACAATTTGTCCGTCAAATTTTGACAAGTCTTCAGTAGTAAGGATGGGAGATTAGACGAATTATACTGGTTTTTTAATCCGTAACAATGTAAAGATCAAATCTCGCACTAAATTTATCAACGGAAAGCACCGATATTACATCTTTTGTATAGCATTCCAGTAATCTACCACTTGATGAGAGAAACGGAACTCCAGACGTAAATGATTCCATCTGCCCTTTTTAATTTCTTTAGAATGTGCTCTCCGATGGCCAGTCATGAATAAAATGAAATGATAAGACATGTCAATACCAAAACTATCTTTCAGTATGTGCTGACTCAGCACTCAATAGCGCCGTAACTTGCCATTATTTAACGGAAATAGGTTGAAGCGTATCAGTCTGTCTTCATTAGTTAGACCGAAGAACTATTTCACCACTTTTATCCCTCACCGCTTGGTACACTTTGGCATATCGTTCTCCTACTTGAAACTATGGCTCTCTGCTTCAATTAAAACGTCGGATTTAGTACCCTAAACAATTCTTCGTTCAAGTAGTCAACTGACTTACGAATAACCCATAAGGCCCTGAAACCTTCGGCAGCAGTAGCCTTACGACTACTACCAGGTCTAAAGTGGTTGCTTTTTATGACTCCTAGATCTTTGTGTTTTCTTAATTCAGGTAATAGAATTTCGCTTATTGCGTAGTGACATGAATGGTCGCAGATATGTATTTGCATCACTAAATTCATGTCGAAATTGACTTCTAATGACCACTCATACATCCACTCAACCAGTGAATTCATTTCATTGCTAACATTATTCTATTTGACGTATTGTATAAGAGTCCCTAAATCTTGATATAATCTGCAAACAGTGTAATAGATTACTCTGCTAAAGTTTGTTAGTCATTCGCATGAAGTAAAATTCGAATGAGACAGAGGATTAAACTGTTGTTTGGCGTTGAGTCATGGTTGACTATGATCACCACTACAGGGAGACTACGTGCCAGTTAATCGATAAGATCCCCAGTAGGCCAAATATAAAAGGCAGTCGATGGCTGTAGTCGAGATGTATTTGTTGGCGATCTCGTGGTATCGAAAGAATACAGAGATCGTGCCAGGTTACAAGTGTGGTTACTGAGCGCAACCGAATCCATGCAAGGTCACAAGCAACGGAAGAATGTATGTTCCTGGCAAAGTTAAACAAACAAGTACAGTAAAACAATCACAGGTACAATTGATTATAATAATAGTCGTTTCTATTAAACCAATCGTGTTCTGTTGATAAAAGTTATTCACTAAAAGACTCCGCGGAAACTTACTTTTACAGATTTCCATGTGCATAAAAAGCTGTTTAACCACACTATGTGTCTCTTTATGCTATCTACGCGAAAGCTTTGTTCAATTCACTTGTGAGAATAGTTCAAAAGTCACAAACACAATGCGATAATCAGAGTAGAACCTGAAGTTCCGTCTTTGGTGATAGATTCTTTAGAAGCTACCGAAATGGTTGCTCTTATGGTTTTCATGTAGTTCCCTCCCGACCTATATCACTCAGTACTTTGTTGGCAGTGATCGGGCCTGCTTTTCATCCCATATAATAAAGAGACAACATTTCAATCTAATGGAGATAAGCCCAATTCGCTTCTCATTTCTCAGTCTCGAAACCTATTTCTTTCCGTATTTCCGCACACATTTCAAACCGCCACATTTCATTAGAATGAATGCAAATTTTGAGTTTGAAAACGTTGATAGATTCAGGATGTTTGGTGTCAAGGAAGGTCTAGAAATCAAAGGACCTTACCGTCAGCGAAAATCTCAAGATTTAGCCCTAGTTGATATGACTGGATACCGCACGTTTTCAGCATTTTTTTCTTCCGCATATTAAACATCTGTCATATGATCATTAAAAAGTTATCATTATTCAGTATGTGGTGTAACAACAATTTCCTGTGCTCTTTTCTGAACATGTTAACCAGTTTCTCCATATATGTGTTTTATGCGGCAATAACCAATCATATACCATGTAAAATGTCATCGATAGACGAACCCACCAATAATAAAGTGAAACACCCAACACCACATCAACTTCCTTTGACTATATGTTCTTATTAACCAATCGCAGTCTGGTGTTCATTGTAAAAGAGTATTTGCTTCGTTGACTCATTTTTCCTATTCCCTGGCTACTATTCGGTATGTTATTTGTCCCTGTTTTTCCCTGTATTATTAGACGGTACTGTTTGCTTGTACACTAAGAATGTTAATTTATATTTTAGAAATAGATAAAGTTTGTCTAGCCAATTAGCTTGCTTGTTCTGAATTTGGCCAAGCCAAGACTCTGTATTCGACGGTTTAGGGAATAGCTCAGAATTATACCTGTAGGAAATCGCTTCCTACATCCCTTTTCATTTAAAGTGAATAGTTGTTTTACCTTTTTACTTCATAATTCACTACAACTTTTGTTCGCGTAAAATTCGAAAAATCTATCATGTGTTATGTTTTGCAAAATGTTAAATTTTACCCACCTCCACCATTTTTTAGTACTTCACAAATGTTTAATCCTGTGGTTTCACAAACCTCAGACTTCCTGTCAAGACTAATCTTTCATAAATATTTTACACTGATACGCGCTAATGGGAACCGCAGCTGGTGTAAATTGACGTCTGCGATACACCACTGGTGCAATGACAGAAGTTCGCTATCTCGCACATTTGAGCGTTCTTTTGAAGAGTAACATTGGCCATCTCTAAGATTCGGTCCTTAATTTACAGTTGGAAAACCGACCACCACGTACGGTGAATTTAGACTTGTTTAACGTGAGTTTTCTCAACACACACTCACCGCATTTTCGTTGGTGCTGATGTTTTTATGTCAACCGTTGGTTTAGAACTATCGTGACGTAAAACCTGACCATCGACTCAAGCTTACGGAAGTTAGTGGGAGAAAATTATCTACAAAAATATGACATTCCTCTGGACATTCTGAAAAGTTGGGTTGGAAAGGACTTTTTAGATTTATTCAAACACACCACTGATCTCAAATACATCGGTGCTCTGAAAATAAAGTGACATACATTCTGGTTTACCGAGAACTGACCACAATCATTTACGTGTGTTCGACAACTTGGTGAGTTTTTATCAACGATTCATGACGCATTGCTCGTCTTTGATGTGACCTTTAACCGGGGAACATCGTGAAAATGTGAAGCTCATCGATTCGGATGACGACGCGAGGAACATATTCTTCAATGTTAAAGAACCGACCGACAAAGGAAAATCGCTCGCACACTGAAACATGGAAGCACCCATTGGTATCACAATAGACGCATCCGAATCAGCGATCGAAGGAATCTTAATCAATAGGTAAAAAACACTTGACAACCTTTGGCATTATTCTCATGATGGCTGCAAGACACTGAATCGAGGTTTAGAACTTTCTTCATGTAACTTCTATCCATGTATTTTACTGTACAGCACTTACAACATTCCGTTGTGTTGTGACTTAATGGTCAGCTAGTTATCACGTAGTCTATTTGTCAATCAAAATACGACTTATTCGCTCTTATACTGTACTAAACCAATGACGTTCGAACGGTCTGATCGGCCTATCGTCCTATTGCTCCGTTGCACGCCTAGACCGTCCAGCTGAGTCCAAAATGCTAACAACAGCCTCCCCTATGAGAATCGAATCATATATATATATATATATATATATATATATATATATATATATATATATATATATATATATATATATATATATATATATATATATATATATATATATATATACCAAACGGACCGCAACGCAGCATAAAATAGGAAATACCTTTTGTACAAAATATGGTCAAAAGTGGCTGTGAGCGTGGGAGGCAGTAGTCAATAAACTGAACAAAGCTTAAGAACAGTAAATCGTACAATAATTATATATAGGTGGGAATAAAGCTTATAACAAGGGGAATATAGATACACATAATCTAGTTACTGAATATTTATACCAAAAGAATATATAAATAATGTCTTTTTTTTAAATATGGCAAATATAATGCTAACATTATTGAAAATTGTGTATTATTGCATTTTTTGAAGAAACCGGAAATGGTTTCTTCACAACATTTAAGTACACATAAGATGTTTGTGAATAATAATAATAATAGGTCTCAGATGATACTCGTAATGTAATCTTCACCATGATATAACACGTTGAAGGCCAAGAATTTACTCTTCAGCGGTCACGAACCCCCCAGCTTTTGTATAAGCTTTCCCCTCGAGAGTATCAACAATTAAACGACATTTCGCAATCGAATTCAGATATACAACACATTCCGGGGGCGAAAAGTGAAGTAGACGACTCCTTGTCTCGTATAACTTCCTCAGACAATTTCCAAAAGATCAAAACTCTCTAAGCTTAATAAAGACACTAATCTTCAGCACGAGTTATCTCCAACAACACTCAAACTACGAACCAAACAGGTGGGAACAGGTAAGGAAACATTACTATGTAACACATCATCCAATAGTGCCGAAATATTATCGACACAACGTCTTCAATACGTTGTACTGGCCTTCTTATCCAGGTGTTCATGCAATTATCAAACTCATAGCAGAATGATTTTGCTGGCTTGGAATGAATAGAGACATGAGGAAGTGCACACACTCGTGTGGGTGGCCAGAAATCTAAGTTGATAAGACACAACGAATGTCCCATAGACTCATTCATAAAACCTGACTTTCGTTTCGAACATGCTCATCTGAATCCCGTAGGTTCTTTACCAGACTCAAATGTATAATTTTATCTCGTAACTTACGTAGACCCTCCACTCGACGACCAAGAGCCACCAATGATATTACGGCTGAATTGGTGACCCACGCCTTCGTCGA